GGAAAATAAAAATTGCTTGTTTAGAAGTAATAAAAGGGAAAGAGGAAAAACCCAATACCAGTGAGTTTGGGATACTAGTCGAGAAATAGTTAAATTTTAAGATTATTGAGATACATTTAATTTGTTATAGGGTGATTACTATTAAGATAATTATTGGTGAGGATATTATGAATGTAGTAAGTTCCTATTCTTCCCAAGTTAGATTAGTAGATAGTTTAAAATATTAATTTTGGAAAGAGATGAATGAACTACTTCACATATATTTGAGGAAGAAATTATATCTATTAGAGTTAATCTGAATAAATATATAGGTTTTGATAGGGTGGACTGTGAAAGGATTTTTGGTGGGTATGGAATAAGAGATGAAAATGTAGTAGGACAAGCTATATTAGATTCATTGCATAGCTTTTGCAATAGCCTATGATCTTTCTATAATGAATGCATACTTCAGTACATAAAAATAACACTTAGTTATAAAAATAAAGCTACTAAATTATAAACAAACTTATTCTTACTTAGAGGAATAGAAAAATCTTTTTGTAAATCCAATAAAGAATTTGATATCACAACATAAAGTAGTAGTTGGGTATTTATCTTAAGAGCAGAAAGAAAATAATATTAATAATTTTATCTTATTATAAGGAGGAGGAATTCAAAATGTGAAAAATTATTAATCTTCAAAGATAGGTTGCTAAATGAGGTCAACTCGAAAATTTTAAGTTAAGTCAAACTTAATTTGAGATAAGAAGGCTAGTTTCATTACAATATTTGCTGAAGTTTTAAAAGAGTTTAGAAATTAACCACTCATTAATAGGGAGACTTGGTGGTATACTGTGGAGGCACTAAAAGTTATCAAGGATAAAATTTGCTTTTAAAGAGTAACAACAGTTGAATATTATTTAGTTTTTTAATTATTATATAAGAAAGCTAGAGACATTGCAAAGAGTATAGTGATTAAAAAAATATAAAATTTTGATGATTTTAAAATTAGGCTTGATGTTTAGGAAGGAGAAAGGAGATTTATATAATGGCCAAAGCAAGAGATAAGTGAAATAAAGACTTTGTTTAGGTTAAATGCATTAGAAGCTAATATAATAGGATCTTAGTTAAAGATGAAGGCAGCAAAGAAAGATTAAAATGCTATTTTGATAAATTGTTAACTGAGATTTTTAAGGAATAAATAATTTTAGAAGAGTATATTAGCCAATATAATGAGGTATATTATAAATTTATTCACAAGAAGGAAATAAATTTGGCTCCAAAGAAACATAAATGCGAGATTTTTAGGTCCATACGAGATACTTAATGAGATTTAAAGAGTTATAGAAGATATTGTAGTGGTTTTGATGAGGACACAAGAAAATTCCTTCGTATTCACCTCCATCTTCCTTCTCCTTCACCACAAGAAAATTCCTTCCCAACCCTTCATTGCCGCCGCCCCTTGGGAACCCACCGCCGGCCACCACCACAACCCCGGCCGGCCACCTTGCCAGCAACTTCCCCTCACCCACCCAACCCCCTTCCCTACACAGTTTTCAAATTTGAAATTTGAAAATTTCAAAATTTGAATTCTTTCCTTATTTGGAACTTCAATTTAGGAACGTTTTCATGATGGGATTCAAATTCAATTTAATTTAGATTGGAGTTATGAAACCTATTGCCACATCATCGTCCTAAATTGGAATCCTTTCTCCCTTGAATTCCCCTCTCCCCCTCCTCTATGCATGCCGCCGGCCCCCATGGAGAAATTTTCTCATTAATTGCTTGTTTAATGTCTTGACCGTTTTGAAATCATAATTTGATTTCAAAGTTTTTCCCTCCTAAATTACTTAAACTGAAATTAAATTTCAGTTTTAAGTTTTCAAACCTCTCCCTCCCTCTCTACAAGCCGCCGGCCTCCCCTCTTAATGGGCCTCATTAATCCCTCATTAAGTCCCTTAATCACATTCAAAATTTGAAATTTATTTCAAATACTTTCCTCCAAATTTACTAAAACCTGAAATTAAATTTCAGATTTTAGTAAACCATTTTGAGAAGCATCCAACTTAATTTGCTCTCACCCTAGCTCTCTCCCTCTTGCACCCGCCGGCCCCCACCCTCTCTCCTTAAGATTCCCACCGGCCCTCTCCCCTCCTCTCCCATCTTATCAAACGACAAGTACTCTCTTTCAACACCACGTTCTTCCTCTCTTCGTGTGGAAGATTCTCCGACGCCAAGCATGCATGGCGGAATCCGAATGGAACTTTGGATTTGTGCATGACGATCGAGGTCAAGTCGACATCCACCAATCGCCGTTCTTTGATGTGGGCTTTGATTTCGACGACACCGTTGAAGACTACTTGAATCGCATCCTCCCCACGCTCGTAGATGTCATTGACGAGCAATTCGAGGACTATTCGTGGACCGTCAACGGCTATCCGTTCGTGTCTCCTCCACCATCGTCGACCTTTCTGTGGCTCAAGACCATCGGCGTTGCAACCTTCCTCATGGCATCGTTTGGTGTGCTGAAGATCTTCTCCCGCTAAGCCTAGCGTAGTTGAGTGATCAATCCCCAAGGTGAAACTCTCGTTATTAAATTACGGATTGTTGATTAATAGCTATTGGTATTGCTACTATCCTTGGTTATCCATGAGTTTTTGGTTAATCTACTTGTACTCCTTCGCCTAAGCAAGTTAACAACTAAGAACCTTTAATGATTTTACTTGTTATCTCACTAAGCTCTTAATTGTAATTCCATTGTCAATCACTTTTAATTTTCTTGAAAAGCTCCTTCGCATGTGGTATCACATCAGGTTTGTTTAAATAATATTTTTGATATAGTTTTAAAAATTAAGAAGATGTCAAATGATTGAATAATGGTATTTTGATACTAATATTTAAGAACAATGAAGGTGTTCAAAACTTTACTAACTATACAAGAATCAACTTAATGAATAATGCACTGAAGCTATTTACATTGTAATTGAATGAAGGTTTAGAAAATTTATGCAGTTTTGGAGGATTCGTTTTGTTTTGTGTTGGAGATCTAATGTAGAAGCAATTTTTTGTGTTAAGACAATTAACGAAAAATTATAGAGAATTATGAAAATATCTTCATATGATCTTTATTGATCTTGAGCAGAAATATGATTATGTGTCACAATAAATGATTTAAGGTCTATTAAGCCTTGAATATGTGTGCCAAATTAAATATTTGCATAATGGAGGATTAATTAGTATTAAAAGTAATTGTGGAGTGATTAAAGAGTTTCCAATCATAATAGAATTTCACCCAAGATCAATATTGAGTCCATTTCTAATTGTATTAGCAATGGAGATTTTTACTGAGGATATTAAAAGTAAGATACCTTGATATATGTTTTTTTGCAAATGACATAATTTTAATCATGAGACATCCACTGAAATAATTATACTTAGATAATGAAAAAATGTTTAAAAAAATAGAGAATTTAAAATTAGCGTAATAAAAATTTTGAGTATATTGTATGCAATCTTAGATGTATTAACAACTGTCAATTAATATTTTAAGAAGATACAGTTATACATTAGTGCGATAGATTCAAGTATCTTTGATGTATTATATAGAATAATGATTGTCTAAAAAAAAAAACAAGATTGTCTAAATGAGAGTATAACTTTTATAATTAAGGCTAAGTTGTTAAAATGGAAATTGTTTCTAGAGTATTATACGATAAGAAAATGTCATGGAGATTTAAAAGTAATTTTTTTAAAATCGCAATTAAACCAGTGGTGTTGTGTGGCTTGGGTTATAAAAAATTCATTAATATTATGGTTGATTGTAGTAGAAATGAAAATGTTAAGATAAATATGTGAAATTATGATGGATAAAGAAGTTGTGTGTATTGAATATATGACAATTGAAATATATTTTGATATTTTGGACATATATAAAGATGGTTGAAAATTCACCAATTAAACGAGTCAATAAAATAACGTTAGAGTATTAGGTAGGAGAAGGGGTAAACTTAAGATAACATAAATAGAAGTTGTTTAAAATGATTTGCGAAGAATATATTTAATATATCTTGCAACACTTAATCGGCGTTAATGGAAACTGAAGAGTTATAAAGCTGATTTCACATAGTTAGGCTAAGATTAATTATGATGATAAGATAGCTATCCATTTATATGATTAGTTTTTCGATCTTTTCTGTTCTTCGCGAGGTAAGTAAGATTTGCATTATTTTTCTCAACTACTAGAACATTGTTCTACAATTATTCCTCTCCACGACTTTCTGCAAGTTTTATTTCTTAGGTTTGAACTGTCTTTATCTATTTCTGTAGGTGCAGATGATTTTATTAATATTTTATTTATAAAGTTCAGGGCATGCTACTTTTATATAATACTTGCATTAAATTTTGGAGCTTGTAGCCATCTTTTGATCAATCCCTGCACCCACTGGTACTCTAAAATTCTCATTAATTTATTAATTTCTTATAACAGTCTTTTTCATGCCATTAAAAAACAGTAAAATACATCTTGCTACTATTCCATTGTGGGTAACATGAAGCTTTAATCAAGGCTTTTTTTGTTTGGCTCTATCATTTCTTCAATGTATTTATTTTAGCACATTTTTGTTCAAATTCTTTATGAGCAAATCAGACAACTCAACCATACAAAATTTTTTAGGAAAAATTAACCTAATTCTCATAGTCGTTATTTGTGAATATATCTAGATTTGGCATGTTGTCTTCTTTTTCTAGAGATTGGCTCTCCGTGAAGGTTTAGCCGTTTCTTTTTCTCAAACCTTTTTGTTTCATATTTACTTGCAGAAAGCCTCATTACACCATTTAAATAAAGAAAAAAGTCAGATGTTTCTATAAACATTTAGTTTAATTTATGATTACTTCTAGCTACTCATTTCCTATTTAAAGTTTTGTCCTCCCAATTGTTGTTGAAGCTATATTTCTATACTTTTCTGTTGCTTAGTTGGAGATTGCTGCCATCCTCTATTCTAACATACTGGAAAATATCACAGCTACACTTTGTTTAAAACCAAAGGCATCTACACAGCAGTATGAGGAGAAGACCTGGAATTGCTGGTTTACAAACTGCTGTTGCTGCTCGAGTATTGTCCGATCTCCTATCATAAATTTTACTTGACTCCCATTTTTTTCGCCTGTTTTTTTTAAATAATTTATATTTCAGGACCAATATCGACTGCTTGGAGAAAATGTTGCAAAGATCCGAGCAGATCTCATGAAAGAGCAGCTTGCAACATTTAAATCTCAATTGGAAGAGTTTGCTCAGAAGCACAAGGCAATTGATATGTGTGCATTTTGTGCTTTCTGTTGGCTAGAAGATCCATGTTTTTCAATTATTCTTGTCGAAATATGAACTCCTTCAGCCATTTCAATTAATAGTTTTTTTAATCTTGACAAAGCTTAATTTCTTCATTTTGGTGAGATTTGACAATATTACGTTTTAAAACCAGGCTGAATGGTGCATTGTGATTCAGTGTTTAGGTTGCGTTAATTTGAGTTATTATTATGAAATACAAGTTGAAATCGTACTTTATATGAGAGGAATCTGTTTTCTCATTGGTGTGCTGCTGTGATTTTATGCTTTGCAGATTGATATTCGCAACAAAAAACAATTCTTGTTAGTTGTTAATTCTAATATTCTAATGATGCAGTAAAAAAGATAAGATTTTCATAGGCCAATTAGATGGGTTTGAATTAGGCTACAAAAGAACTTAACCAGACTAATTTTCAACCCTTTTTAAGAACAATTTTTAATTATGGCCAAAATTTTATTATTTTTATTTGATTTATTTTATTAGATTGGGTTATTCTCTTTGGATAAAATTAGGTTTGAATATTTGGATAGGATTTGATTTTTTCTCAAGATAGGATTATATTGGATTTAAATTTTGGCCTTATCCATGTAATTATATTTCTGTAAATAGTGGTTGATGGCTTGTAATTGGAGGAGATTATTGATTGATGATTGAATGAATGGAATTATTTATTGCCAACTAAGTGCTCTAAGTTGTGTAAGTTCAAACTGTGTATGTTGGTGACTTTAAGTTATGTTTGCAGACAGTTTATTGAAATTCGCTTTTGATTGCTCCCAACTCTAGTTTTTAAATCACAATCTGCACTATATGTTTGTAATCAAGTTTCACACTGATCTCACTTTCACGACACTCGATTTTCATCTTGCAGGCGTTTTGTTGTTTGCCTTGTCTCATACTCACACTCGAAGTGTAGGTCAGATTTTTCTTGCGTGACAAACTCATTCCCTCGCTTACTCTGTAAAGTCGATCTCTCCGTCCCTCTTTCCCTTTGTATGCGCAAACTTGCTATGTCCCTTATTCATGATCTTCTTCTCGCATCCACACAACCACCTCTTGCATGCATTAATCCCTCTTTGCTTGTGTTCATGTTTGTGCGCGCTTGATTTACGATTGCCCACTCCTCACGTGCCATTCACGCAATTCTATCATTTACCTTATGCGCCTTTAGAAACTTCCTGCAAGTATTGCCTAGCACATTCCTCACACTCATAGTGGCACTAGAATCCTAACTTCCTTTGGCTCCCTCTTTGTTAGTACTCTAACCTAGCCACCACATCTCCACTCTATTCTGCATTTAACATCTTCAACACCTGATCTTCACCCCCCGGTACAGGAAATTCATTTTAGTGATTGTGTGGACCATTGCTACAATCTGTGTTTTTTTCTTTTGTTATGAAAATTGTTAGAACCTTTCATCGTTGACCTCACATTCTCCTCCTAGTATGTGACCAAAAGCATTCATCTTCTGAATGATTCGAGACCATCATTGTCTAGCTGTTTCCAATCAAAGGCAAGTCATCATCATTTTGGTGCAAAATTTTTGTTTCAAATCTCTTTCATGGCTTATTATAGGCATAATGATTACCTTCTTATTAATGTTATGATTATGATAATTATCCAAATCACATGCTTGCATGATCAACTCATCAAAGTTCATACAATCAATCTCATTAATCTTGGTGTTTACCTTAGAGTCATAATTATTAGTTTTTTTTTTTTTATGAAACGATGAGTACAATGAACTTCAATCTCAATATACAAGTTATTATTGTGTTCCAACACATTCCATTGATCATAACTAATATTATGATTCACTCAATCGTTTGCAACTTCTACTAAGCAAGCAAACTATTCAGTTTTAGATGGATAAAATCTTTGATTGCTCTAATACTTTTAAAGAAGAATTGCATAACTGAGCACGTCCCATATGAGTTATTTGTGCACATCAATCACAGTTCAGACAATATATGGATCTCTTGAGGTTGGTGATAAGGATGCTCAACCTACAGTTAAGTTTGATCTAGAGCATCAGCAAGATACTTTATCCCAGACTTCGGATAAACTTTATGAAGATGTTTATGATGGCACTCTTCTTTCCAGTGATGTATTAGAAGTTAAGTATGATTATGGTTTATCAATACCCGAGGTTGAAATAGGTTTATGATAATGAATTGCCTAAGCTAGAGAATGTAGAGTGTGAGATTGTATATATATAAAGTTGAGATGTATTTAGATGTATCAAATTTTGGAGTTGTTCTTCTCCAACTTCAGGTTGAGATTCATATTCCAATTCAATTGCACTGTCTCAAAAAAAGTGCTACTTCAGATGATTAAGTTTGCTTTAATTATACCATCCAGTGATTGAATTTGTGCTACGATTGTCACATTTGTCACCTAATCCACTTTTGTTCCATATTATAGAGATCTTACCGGTATAGGAAGTTTGGAACTGCTCAACACTCGAGCTAAACTCCTTCCTCTTTTTCTATTCTACATTGCACATGCGCTTCTTCCATCAAATGATTCAGTGGTCACTTCCTCCATGGTCTTCACCAAACTCATATGGAGAAGAGCTCTTTGCTGACCGAGTGAATTGATGAAGTATAAATTAGCTAGTTTAGTTTAGAAAAGAATTAGATTTTCATAGGCCAATCAAAAGAGGTAAAATCGGGCTACAAAGGGCCTAAACCAAAAAGTTTTCAATCATTTCTCAAACCATATTTAATTAAGGTCAAATTTTATTAATTTTAGTTATTCTTTTTGGATGAAATTAGGCTTGAACATTTGGATAGGATTTGATTTGGTCTCAATTTAGGATTAGCTTGGCTTTAAATTTTGGCATTTTCTGTGTAACCCAATTTCTAGAAATGGGGATTGATGCCTTGTAATTGCAAGTAAGAATGAATAAATGAAATTATTTTTGTCCAAATGAGTGTCCTCTAGATTCAAGACAATTTTAAATAATTGCATGGGTGGTGAATGTGTAAGCATGCATGGGTGCATGTAGATTTTAGTAATTGCAAGTAATTTTTTAGGTCATCTCCACAAAGGAATTGATGGTTTCCTCATCTAAGAGGCTGTTAACATTTCTTTCTCAAAATAGAGGTTTTTATCACTGGAGCTCATATTTTAATACCATTCTAAAATCTGGAATTTTAATTGCAATCACGAAATGAAACTGTGGAAACAATGCAGGGAGATTGGATTATTAATTTGCATTTGAACTGGTTTTTTCTTTTTTAGAGATTGTTCATTAGGATCTTTGTGCGTGCCTTTTGTTTATTTATCTTGATTGAATGCATGTAATTATTTTATTATGCCTAAAACTTTTTAGGAGCTCTCTTTCACCGGTTATTGCATTTTTTTGTGATTTGTTTGTCGTTTGTTGCCTTGCAGAATGATATTCGTAAAAATCCTACTTTTAGATCGCAATTCCATGAGATGTGTGCTAAAGTTGGAGTGGATCCCCTGGCCTCCAACAAGGGATTTTGGGCAGAATTACTAGGAATTGGTGACTTTTATTATGAACTTGGTTGGTATTATTATTTTCTTGTTCCGTCTTGATCATTTTGCAACTTTCTGTTAGCTTGACTGATTAGAGATCATGATTGCATGTATAACCTTACATATCTTTTATAAATATAATTAAGGCCTAGATACTGATTAAGTATGAGGAAGATATGGCAGGACATGGAAAAAAAAAAACATATGATACAATGGAAAATATACAAGATGTTCACACCACTATCACAACCTAATTTAAGGTATATTGGCGTTGCCTTTAGTAAGGTCATCCATACTTCTGCTGCTTTTTTTTTTTAAACGATGAGCATTGATCAGTTCTCTCGTTATCTCTCCTCTCTCTTTCTTGGACCTTTTTAGGCATCGAATTAAGCCTTTAAATCATCATCTCTGCCACCCATTGTTCTTCTTATCTCACATTTAAGGGCTTCAGTGATACCCAGGCTATGACAATCTCTTCCCTATCCTTGCCATTTTTATGTGTGTGTAAGTTTGCACGCATGCATGTGTGCATTGAATTGCACTAATAATATTGAAATGCACTCATAATATGTAGTTATTTGAGTGCTTTGTTTTTTAAGAGCAATTATATGAGTATAATTTCAAGTCATGTCTCTTCATCTCATTATGTCTATGCAAGGTAGAGTAGCTTCATCCTAGAGGGAAGCTAATATTCATTTCTTTGTTTCGAAGTATGGGTTATGAATTTCCATGGATGCCATATCTTAACACTTTCTAACTTTCCTCAACATTCTAGTGCAGCACTGGTGCTACTTCCTTTGATGCCTTGGTGTGTCAAAGATGTTTAGAGGGAAGAAGATGACTTTGCATACAAAAATGGTAGACATCCGCATATAAAATTTGTTTCTAGAGAGTATTCCATTGGCCACAAATAGTTTCATTTATTTAATTTAAATCACTAATCAAAATTATATGCCATTAATACCTATTTTTAGAAATAAAGTATCAAATGTTTTCCCATCTTGAAACCAGTCAAAGCCTATATTAAATTTGAAGCTAAATTTATTAAAATAGACAAATTTAATCTAATAAATTAAATCAATTAAAAGTAATTAAAAATTTAGGCATAATTATAACTATATATGCATCTGAAAAGGATTGAAAATTGCTTTGGTTCAGCTCTTTGGTAGCATGATTTGACTCCTAATAATTGACATTTGTTCAATTGGAATTGTGTGGCCTAATTTTACTTTATTTGTACTACATGAATTCACCTGCCTAACAAAGAATCCTTATGAAGAATTTGGTGGAGACCATATGGGAGTAAGTCACAACATTGGATCATATGATGGCAATAATGCAACACTAAAAACATCAAAAGGAGGAAAATTTGGAGGCTTGGTGCAGGGCACGGCTCAAATTTCATGTGTGTAAGTTATTTTACAATATGAACCAACAATAGATTAGTTGAAAATGTTGGCAGTGGCAGAATAAAATCAATCTAGTTAGGTATAACTGAAGCAAACTATAATAATCTGAAGTAACGAAAATCTTCTGAGATAGTAGCAAGTGAATTGGAGTAAGATCTTCAAGTGACAATGTCAAGCTTAGACATTTCATCAAATATTGATAATTCATAATTATTATCAAGGTTTAACTCATCATCAAAAAGAGGTGTGTCATTGTCAAATCTTCATAAAGGTCATCATGAAATCTGTTTTGGTGTCTTCATCATGACATTCACAATTTGTCTTGTGCAAAGCCTCATGTTCATTCTTTGGAATTTGGATCATTAGCATCCTTGTCAGCAGGCTCAAGATACTCATATTTTTTGACTTTGGTTTGTGTTTTACACATAGCTTGTGAATATAAGAGTTTCCAAGATTTATCCCTCTGAGATAGGATGCTTTGCACATTTTGTTAAAGCTATTAACAAATCATGATATTGATTACGATCAATGAAATTTGTTGGAATAAAAAAATTATTTATATGTAGAGATTGAAAGTCAAATGACCTATCATTTTTATAAGAAGAATAGAATCATGTGTCTGAGATGAATTCCAAGATAAATTGTGTGAACTTTGATGAAGCGATTGCGTCAATATGTGATTTAGATAATTATCATAATCATATATTGCTTAGAATTATCATCATAATAAGTAGTATGGTCAAACATTAATAAGTTGTGATTTCCTTGTAGAATATTTTCTTTCTATTTTGGTCGCTGCAGTGATAAGTGGCTAGGGGAATAGAAGTCAATGGCTACTGTTACAAGAGACCAATGAGAAATGATTGGTTTCTTAAAGTAGTGCAAATGATTGGCGGCCTCAATGATTAGACCTAGCAATAAATCTCTGCAAGCAATGCTAGATGCACATAAGAGGCTAGAGTTGGGGGATGCAAAGTATAGTCAAACGCAGTAAGTTGCTATAGATAGCATCAAGAACAATTGCACATGATTTAAAGGCTTGCTTGCTTGTGGATGCAAAAGAAAATGGGATTGCGCATGTGTACTCTTGTGGATAGAGGGTATTGGTTGCTAACGAAGCGACAAGATGCGAGGTGTTAGCGGTTCATAAATGGGGTGCAAGAGCAAGGGTTGTTTGATTGCGCGATTAGGGGAGATTCGCAAGTTGAAGTCTTTTGAGTTGTCAAGGGATGAATCAAACACTTGATTTGAGATGTTAAATGAGCAATATAGTGCAGGATGTGACACGTGCATGAGGCGGACTTGAGATGGGCATTGGGATGCGTGGGCTTAAGATGATTAGGTAAGGTATGGTGTGAAGACTGAACGAGGTGTCAATCGCTGGAAGTGCTAGTGCGAGGAGATTTGAGGTTGAACAAGCAACTTCATGTGGGCTCGATATGGATGCGAAGGGATTGATGCATAAATTAGAATTAAAAAGGCTGCTGGAATTGGGGATTTTTTATTTGTAAGGCATGACATATAGGCTCTAGTACCAACATTTGTGAAAATGCGGAATGGGTTGGGGGGGCTAGGCGGATAAGATGACTTTGCATACACAGCTGGGAGTGATTTTGATGCACAATTTGGATCTAAAAAGTACTTAATTGGTTACAGAAAATTTCACTCATTCAATAGCAAATAGTGATCAAAATTGCATGCCTTCAATCCCTAATTATAGAAATAGGGTTGCATAAGTAAAGCCGTAATTTTAAATGAATCCTAATCCTATATTAAAACATCTCAAAGCCGATCCAAACATTTAAACCTAAATTATCCGGACTACTAAAGTTAATAAAAATCTTGGTCATAATTAATATGCATCTTAAGAAGGTTGAAAATGGATGCAATTCAGATCCTTCGTAGCCCATTTTGATTCCTAATAATCTGCCTATGGCCAATTAGACTTCTGCATGCCAATTTCTATTGCATTGGTCAACGCATGCTAAGAGCTTCAGGTGCACCGCCCAGCCCATGTTGCTGCCCCCCTTTCTTCTTCCTTTTTCCTTTTTACCTTTGTCCTCTTTTTGAGTCTCAAACAAATTTTTTCCTATTTCTTTATTTTTTGCATCGTTGTTCTCTTCCTTCTCTTGATTTTGTTACTTGTTTTCTTTCTATTTTGTGCCTTGTCCAAGCGTTTCTGTCGAATGGTCTGCCTAGCTTAGCTTCTTATTTCTTCTAGCTTTGGACAACTAAAATGGAAAAAAAACTCTTAGGGGCTGTTTGGTAGAATTTAGGATTTCATTTAAGTAGGATTTCGTAAATCCTCCAAATCCCGGATTTGCGAAATCCTGAAAACTGTTTGGTAACATTCATGATAAATCCAGTTAAATCCTTTGTGACTGTTTGGCTGTTCATTTTAGGATTTAAGGCGATTAAAAAATTGACATACATTATTAGGATAATTAAAACACGACAAAAAAAGTTTAAATAAAATATAACAAAACTTTATTAATACTAATTAATTATTTAATTATTATTTACCCTAAATCCGCCGAACCAAAGGATTTCGGAAATCCGGGATTTAGAGCGAATCGGCGGAATTTTCCGTCCACGGAGGATTTCATTTGCCGTGAGATTTTGATTTGCATTTTAGGCCGTTTGGCTGGATTTCGCCCAAATCCGGCCTTAAATCCGCCTAAATCCGCATACCAAATAGCCCCTTAATCTCATCGTGAATTCTTGCAGTTGTAGATTCCTCTTCACCCCAGGTTTCGTATAATGGGATAGCAGCACTTTTCTTTTATTTAGTAATCAAAATCATGTATAACAGCTTTTTGTCGGAGGGATTAAATGGACAAAGCAGCTTCATTATCTTAACAATGGCTTTCATGGTAAGTAGATTCTCCAGTTCAGTGTAGACATCGCTGAGACTATTGTGGGCTCCGAAAATTCGGTCCCGGCCTCTGCCCGCACTAATTGTGCTTTTTCTTTGGCGAGGGAGTTTTAACGGAATAAGTTCCGGGGTAAATTTTGGAAGGCAGATGGGTTTGTAGATAAGGCACTACCTTAGAGATTTCGCCCTCATTTTGTGAGGACTTTATGATCTGAGTTCTGGTTTCCTATAGGCGCAAGCCCCTATAGTTAATTATCCCTCCCGATAACGAGAGAGAGCTTTCGATTAAGGCTAGTCATCAATTAGATACATAGAGTTACATAGTATCTGGCATATAGCAGCAGCATAGGCATAGAAATTTGAATGTTTGGAAAAGTTTGAAGGGTTGGAAGATATTGATATTTAAAATGGAAATTTCACAATATTGCACTTAAAGCGGATGGGGGGAGAATGGATGATAGACCTGATCAAGATCCCATGGTTCCGTCGTCCCGGGCCATCGCGGTCCCTGGTCTACTTAGTCAGAGGAGGTAGTCGACCCAACCTGACAGAAGGATCCTTGTCGGCAACCATGGATTGCTTCGTCCAAGAGGACCTTATAGACCTAGGGTGAATGTTTGTCTAAGGGGACAAATTTGAATCCGCCTTAGCTAATAGAGGGTTTTGTGCTCTATCAATCATATCTTATTGATTCATATATCAAGGATTTGATGCCACTAAGGAACGTATTGGCTCTGGCCATAA